AAAATTGCTAGACTGATCTTTTTAGAATTTTTTTAAGAAAAATTCAGCAAAAAAACGGAGTCGCATTCTGGGCCTCATTTAAAATTTGTGGTACCCATCGGGCAGATTTCTTTGTATATATTAGATGAATACTTAATATTCGCCCCGACATTCAAGCCCAATTCATTAGCAATCATTTCTTCTGTCAATAGTGGATCTTTGTCAAGTTTGGAATTCACCAGAGCTACAGCGACGTCATCAGAGGAATTTCGTCTGCTCTACCCAAGATAGCTGCGTTTTCTCATCTCGATTTCAGTCGATCGTTCTCGATTTGAAAAGAAAACTAATGAAGTAATTGCAAAGGTTTTGGTAATTTTAGATTTAACAAAAACAACTTGAATGTCCCAACTGACCGACCTTTTGTTAATCCCCTCGTATAACAGGGGTAATCACACCGATTTTGGTGATTCGTTATTTGATAGTTTTATATGTGTTTTTATTTTCGTAAAATTAAGAGATTATTGTTTCACCGTGTAGCGATAAATTTTGGCTTCGTCGACAAAATAATGGGATACGCCAAGTCTGAGGACATGGAACTAAACATCACACAAAAAAGTGTGGATACCACTGAATTAATGAAAAACCCTCATACTGAATTTCCAATAAATCGCTGCTGAATGGTAACTAAATAAACCCATTTCTGAAGGCGATGGCGGCTGCTGATAAAAAGTGGTTCACTTACAGGACTGACGCATGCGTCCAGAAGTGCCCAGCTTTATCCAACAGGAGATGAAGGCAAATGATTTGGCCTTTTTGCATGTAGGGACAAAGGTTTCTATGAGAGAGGTACTATCTTCAAAGGACAAAGTATTAACAAGTCAAACGGAGCTTTTTCAGGTCATTGGTCTGTTGAATTGATTTTGGGTTTTTAATTTTTTTTTTTTGGAAATAGTGAGAAAATGTTACAAAATAAAGCATAAACCGTTAACCAAATTTTATGTTCTGTTTTTAGCATTCGAAAGAACTTCATGTGAATCATCTGCGTGATAACCCACATTTAATGTATAAAATTGGATGAGTTTGGTGCAGCCGGTGTTACGTGAGACCAAATCATAAACTTATTTTTATATAAATATAATAAGGCGATATTGCCTCACCTCAATTTCAGGCCTTTGGATTATCTCCAGAGTGATAATAATTGCACGCCCCGAGGCGATATACTGTTTGATTCACACATATCCCATAGTCTGCTGATAATATGGAATATTTAAAGGATTAATAAATAAAGAGGGTGCAATGGCCGAGTTGTTAGCATTGCGTACTGCCATTCTGTAGGCCAAGGTACGAGTTCTAGTTCGACCAAATTCTAAATTGTAGAAAATTATTTTTTCTACTTTCAGACGAACCTCTGGAAAGAAATAAAAGCTGCTCATAAAATCCATCGCCCGTTCGAAGGTGGCTTAAAATAAGCATAGATTAGTAGCTTGTTGCGAACAAGAAATGTCACATTTTTGTGTGCTCTTCGATTTTAGACTTTTGAAAATAAAATTAGTATCGCTCAGGAGTTATGACATCGAAACCAAAAGTCGAAAATCGAAGAGCACACGACAACGTGAAAACTACCTTTCCAGTTGTAAGCAACAAACTACTAGACCGAAATGACTGCAAAAAAATGCATAATCGAATGTACCCTGCCCGCGAAAATTCAAAAATCACCTTTTCTTTGAAGCCGACCTCGTATGTACGTGAAATTCAGTATGATCACGTGACTTCTTGCAAAAAAATCGTTAGCCTTCATTTAATTAAACCTACCTCCCCAACAAAAATTCATTCATATAACTGTAAATGTATGCAATGTATTTGTATGTGCAGTTTGTCGCATAAATAGCGTAAGCTAATAGGTATTCGTTTTCATAACACATTTTTGATTTCCTTTTCGTCTTCAACGCATCGGTTTCGTTTGTATAAAAGACCCGTCTGATTAGTGTTCAAATCAGTTCAATTCCGCATTCGGTATTTGCATAAACCAACTCCAAATAAACTTAATAACAATGGCATTCAAAGTAAGGATTTACAGTGAGGGTGAAAACAATAAGAAACCTAGAAACAAAAATTGACTTGAGTGAAAATTGTGAACCAATTTTAAATGTAATAATTTTTTCCGTAGTTCATCGCCTTCTTCGCCCTCTGCATCGCTGCTGCCAGCGCTGGTGTCATCGTGCCCGGAGCTCCTTTGGCTGCTGTCGCTCCAGCACCTTTGGCTATTGCCGCACGTGTTGAGGAATACGACCCACACCCCCAATACACCTACGGTTATGATGTGAAGGATGCTCTGTCCGGTGACTCGAAAACTGCTGTGGAAACCCGTGATGGTGACATTGTTCAAGGTCAATACTCTTTGAATGATGCTGATGGCTACCGTCGTATTGTTGACTACACCTCCGATCCAATCAACGGTTTTAACGCTGTTGTGCGCCGTGAACCTTTGGTTGCTCCCGTTGTTGCTGCCGCCCCAGTAGTTGCCGCACCCGCTCCCGTATTCAGAGCCGCTCCTCTGGCTGCGCCCGCACCACTCGTGGCTGCCGCTTCAGCTCCCCTTGTTGCCGGACCAGCAGTGGTGAAAACTCAATTCGCCTCTCCCCTCATCTCTTACGCCTATTAAGAAAGTTGAACTGAAGTATTGCCATTAGTTGTATAAATGAATAAAGTCAATCTATGAAAACATAAGCTCAGAACATATATACATACATATATACATACAACTCACTGCTGAATTAAACAAAATTATTGTAACATTTTTAGTGTGCATCACAGGGCTGATATTAGTAATTCAAGCATATCCATAGGTATATATGGAAATTATGGAAAATATTGTGTAGTAATTAACCAACCATGCGGTTGTACGTAGGGTTTGGCGCCCACCACATGAAAAATAAATTCCAATTAAAATTTGTAGTATGCCTCGGATGGTGATGACCTTTTGAGGGCATGCACCTGGAATGTCCGATCCCTTAATTGGGAAAGTGCCGCTGTCCAGATGGTTGAAGTTCTCATAAAATTAAAGGCTGACATCGCTGAAATGCGATGCACGGGACAAGGACGGTAGAAGGTGGGTCCTTGTAAAATTTGCTACATCGGCCATATAAAGGAGTACAAATTTGGTGTCCGATTCGTGGTGGGAAAGAGAATACGTCACCGAGCGCTGGCAATCGCCCGCTTAAAAAAGAACAAAGCGGGGAGAGCTGACGGCCTACCGGGAGAACTAATCAAATATGGCGGTAAAAAGTTGACAAGGTGCATGCTTCAGCTACTTTGCAGATAATGGACGAAAGCATGCCCGACTATTGCAATTTAAATGAGCTCTGTCCAATTTCTAAAAAAAAAGGTCCCCACAGTCTGCGCCAATTACTGTGTGATAACCCTCCTTAACATCGCATCTAAGGTCCTATCAAACATATTCTGTGAAAGATCAATGCCTACCGTCAACAAACTACCGTCAACAAAACAAAATCGCTCAGAATTAGGAAGGACCTCTCCGAGCTGTTCGCTACCAAATGAGGTTTCGGACAGGATTACTCTTTGCCGCGTGATTTCTTCAATTTGATTCTTGAGAAAATAATACGAGCTGAATAGAGAAGGTACAATCTTCTTTAAGAGTGTACAGCTGTTGACGTACGCCGATGATATCGATATTATTGGCCTCAAAATCCGCGCTGTTAGTTCTGCTTTCTCCGGGCTTGATAAAGAAACGAAGCGAATGGGTCTGGTAGTGAACGAGGGCAAGACGAAATATCTCCTATCATCAAACAAACAGTCATCGCATTCGCGAAAGTCACTGTTGACATTTGACAGTCATAACTCTGTAGTCGCAGATAATTTCGTCTATCTTAGAACCAGTATTAATACCAACTGCAATGCCAGCCTTGAAATCCAATGCTGAATCACTCTTGCCAACAGGTGCTTCTTCGGACAGAGTAGACAACAACAGAGATGAAAAATGTATAACTTTTATGAAGTGATTTTGATATTACAGCATAATCAGTTTACTGTAATTACAACAAAAAAATCTTACTAAATTATAGACAATTTAGTTCTTGCTATCTCGGCATTGAAAAGGCTGATGATTTCACGATATGGGAATATTTTCTCCCTGAAACCCCTTTTCCTCAATGCGGCTGCAACAGTATTGTATATTGACTTCATTAAGGGCTTCTTACTGACCATGTTGAACGAAATGAATCTATAAATAATCAGATGTTGCCAGATATGCTCATCTAACGAGATGATGTCATTTGGCTTTGTTACTACGAAAGCCCTGTTAACTCTCGATGGAAACAGAATCTTCCACTCGTAGCGTTAGGTGCACTTACCGTTGGGGCGCACGGAGCGCACTCCACTTTTGCCCTGCTCTCCGAATTGTATCGGAGAAAGTAGCCTTAGTTAACGCTCGCTGAGAGGGAAAAAACTAAGAAGAGAAGAGATGCCGAGGACGTAATTTGACTGCATGCTGGAAAGTGAAAATGTCTGGATTGTGAGCAGCAGAGGCGAAGTGACGAGCACTTAAACCAAAAAAAAAATGAGGACGGCAAACTATGTCGACGCAAACTACTAAGCTATTAGCTCTAACGGCCTCCGGAGACAACTCTAAGAGGTAGCACCAAGCTTACCGTACGGATGAGAGTGGTTTTAGTTGGGTAAGTCTCACACATCTTCAGCAAACAACAAAAAGAAAAACAGCTTATTCTAAACCTATTTTGAACGGCTTAAGGATTTTTATAAGAAGCTTTTGGACTTGGAAGAGTTAACATTACCTTATGAGGAGCGATATAATTAGAAAATTTAATTTTGGTTATCGGTCTGGAACGCAACACTAAAAACACTGCATAACAAAAACGAGCTTGACCGATTTGAGATAAATATTTGATTCTTAAAAGTATTAAGACTTCGGCATGGCCAAAGCCACCATAGTTTTCTTTTGATGAATTAAAAATAATAATTTAATTTCAGTTGATAATCTCAGATGATTTATTTGTTTGATATTTCCTGGAATACATTATTTTTTTTTAGTAAACATATGAAACATGTGGAGCTGAGAAGGATGTCTTGACCACGGCAGGATGAGCATTGGTGTGAATGGCGTGGTGAGTTATAACGGCTGGAGCTGTCTTCAACAAAGTGGTGGCTGCAGGTGCGGCGTGGACATAATGTGTGGCTGGTGACAAATGTACAGCGGCAGCGGGAGCATGGTGTATGACGGCATGTGCTGCGGGTGCGTGATGAAGCAAGGTAGGTTCAGCATATGCACGGTAATATGCGGGGGCTACAACCGGTGTAACGTAGGACTTGTGAGTTAGTTGTTCATACTTTGGAGCCACTGGAACAGGCAAAACGATTGGGCTAGCAGCGGCTGAAAGCTGAGCTGGAGCTGGAGCTGGAGCAATTTCATTGTTAGCCTTCGCCTGTATCTGTGTTGCAGAAATCGCAGGAGTCAACGCCTTTATGGGCTCGCCAAACTGTTCACGCCGAACGGTAGCCTTAAAACCGTTCACAGCATCGGCAGTGTATTCTACAGTGCGTCGATAGCCATCGGCCTCTTGGAGTGAGTACTGTCCTTTGACTACATCTCCCTCCCGCTGTTCCGATTGAGATTTGATATCGCCAGTGACTGCATCCTGTACATCGTAATTGAAGCTATAACTCGGGTACGAGTCATACTCCGCACTCTTTTCTTCGACGGCATTTGCAGTAATAACAACTAGTGCAAAGATTGTGAGCTGTGAACAATAAAACAAATAATAAGAATATTTTTAATTATTTTATTGCTGTATACTCGTATATTTACTTTGAACATCATTTTTTGAAAGTTGTTGGTTTGTTTCGGTAGTTCTCAAGTGAGTATTGCAAGCACAGTTGGAGCTGAACTGATGAACTGATGAACTTACAAATTGTATCACCCAATTTATAGGATTTCGAGTTGCGACCTACCAGCCGAGCCGACAACCCAATGCCACAATTAATGGAACAATTATTAAGCTGTGCTGAGCGCATGTGGCAAGGTCAGTGCGTCCAAACTGAAGTTGAAGATGAACTGGCGTATATGAGTAAATGTACGTTTGTGTGTTGTTGGGACAATACACACTTCAGATTGCGCTGATCATGTCCCATTTGCGCCTGCAATCGTCAGCACCATCTGCATTTCTGCATTTCAGCACTAAAATCCCTTTGCCTTTGCTAAGGTGTCTTCAGTGCCAATGCAACACGCAACCTGTTCCCTTCACCTACGTCACTGTCATTATTCCATTCCAATTCGCATCGGATGTCGACAGAATCGTGCCAGTGTAAGGTAGCACCTGAATGGCATAGGCATAAGTGTAAAAAAGAGAAAAGAATAACAATCGCAGGAATTAAATGCCTTTCGGCTAATATTTCGTTTTTATTAAATTTAATGTTAACAATCGTGTAATGTGCGTCCAATCAGTGAAGTGTAAATGAAAGACGACTTATTAATATCGAAATGCGTGCTTTATGGCGAATAATAACAAAATGTTAAATTCAAAAATTATTTTAATTTCGTGTACATGAATTAAAATACGATGTTGTGAAATTCTTTGAAACCGTCTAAGTTACTTGGACGCAATCAAAATTTACATACATAAGTTAAGCTGACCAGAAACCAAATTGGTTTTGTATTTATTGGTGACCTTTATACTATTTTATCTTCTCCACATAATCGCCATTGATTTCAAAATATTTCTCTAGCCTGTAGATCCACTTTTGAAAAAATTCTTCAAAATCTTGCTTTTTAAATTTGCCAAGTTCAGCATTAAACGCATTAATTATCTCCTCGTTGCTATTAAAGACCTTTCCTCTTAAATTTTTTTTAATTTTGGAAATAACCAAAAATCAATAGAAGTTATATCCGGGGAATATGGGGCTGGACATATTTCGTCCGTCCCAGACATCACATCCAAATTAATCGTTATTTCAGCAGTATAGGATGTCGTGATGTAGTACCACCGCAAATCCTCTTTCTTCCTGATTTCATCTAAGTTTTGAAAACTTTTGATAAGCACTGTTCGGTGTACCATTTTGCAGTTACCGTCCGACTCTTTTCCAGTGGAATAGCAGCTACGATTTTAGATCGGTTTAAGTAAACAGGCATCATTACAATTGCTGTTGATTTTTGTTGCTTAGATTTTACGGGTCGGTTTGCTCCGGTTGGGCTCCATTGACCATTGACCGCTGTTTGGTTTCTAGATCGTGCTTAACAACTTTACTAAAGTTGCTAGACTGACCATTTTCGAGTTTGTTTAGGAAAAATTGGGTAAAAAAACTCGAGCCTCTTTTTGAACCTCATTAAAAATTCGTGATACCCATCGAGCAGACTTCTTCGTGTATCCCACTCAATATTCGCGATACAGCCATGGCATTCTAACCCAATTCATTAGCAATATTTTTTGTAGCAATCGTAGGTCTTTGTCAATTTTGGACTTCAAGAGAGTTACAGTGACGGCATCAGTGGAAGATTTTGTTCAACCTTCTCGGGGCTCGTCTTCTACGGGAAAATATCCGGTCTGGGTTCTTGGAAACTACTTAGAAATAATCTCTAAAGATGGCGCAATCGTTCCATATGCAATTTGTCATTCACTGAATATTTGTATTTGCTGTAAATTACGCCGAAACCAAAAGAGAGTCACATGGCGAATTTCCGTTTGCGTTGGTGGTTTAATTTCGTCTGACCTCTTGCGTTTGCTCGTCTCAATTTTAGCCGATCATTCTAAAACTTGAAAGGGAGAAATATAAAGTAATTGCAAAGGATTTGGTATTTTTAAATTTAACAAAACTAAATTGAAAGTCGCCAACTGACCGAACTTTTGTTAATCCTCTCGTACAATCAAAAATTTCCTTACGTCTCTGCGACCGTAGGATTTATCATCAGGGTCCATAACCATTAATAAAACCTAATAACCGTACTTTTTTTTTGTTCAAATAAAAAGAGATAAAAACATAAAACATAAACAATTCGTTTGAATTTTTCTTATTTTATTAAGAACGCACGTACATTATAATCACGCCAGCTCTTAATACTTAATGCCTTAAGGCTGTAGGGACGGGCAAGATTTTGTTATGTCCAAACCAAGGCTTCACCGTAGCGTTTAATTTCAAGTTAAACAAAAAAAAAATCAATCGATTCGGTTGAAAGATTTCGAAATATTATCGTTAAAGTAATTGTCAAATTAAATTTATTTTCGTTTTTACCCACAACGAAAAGCTGTCGTTAATGTTAGATCGTCAACAGATAATGTTAAATCGTTAACAGACAATGTTCGATGTTGAAATTGAAAGGTGATGTTAATAACATAGCAGGCAGGCATTTAAACATTAACATTAACGATCAGTTTGTAAGAATTCAACATTAAAAATTTCATTTCATTTCGATAATATGATGCCGAAACGTAAAAAATCATTTCGGTTATTTTTTTTATAAATAAACACAACGAAATGATATCGTTTCGTCAGTTGAGCTTCTCTGCTACAGACACTTCCTAATTTCCAAATTGCACACTAGTGATTTTCTGCTAAAAACAGAGAAATAGTATGTAAAAGATTTCTCTCTGTTAATGTATTTCTTTACTTTGGACTTTTTACCAAAGGAAATTCACTACAAGATTGCTAAGAAAGAGTTTAAATCACTCATTTTGAATTTTTTTATTTGTTACATTGCTTAAAACATGAATAAAAAAGTAAAATAAAAAATATCGAAAAATTAATAATTTTGAAAATTACATTATACATACATACATATGTAGGTATGTACATATATTAACAATTATTAAAAGAAGTTAAATTTATTTTAAAAACTCACAAAAGAAAATAAAAGAAATTAAGAAAAAAAATGTATTAATAATAATTACAAAAAAAAAAAGATTGCATGGCTTTAACCCTTCTTAGTTCATATATCGAATCAAATACAAATGTGTGTATGCATATGTGCATAAGTATTATTACAGCTTCTCTGGAAATTCTTCAAATGACCCTAAAAGTATATATTAAAGTTCATTCGTTAACTACAGCAAAACAGTCCTGCCTAAATGTATGCTTTGAATTGCAGCTAAATGGATAAACACGTGCTTGTTAAAGCTTAGCACCTTATTACACTTCGTTATATGGTATATACTTATTATGGTATGCTTGTGTGCACTTCTGTATATACATACATACACTTATTTCCCACATTGAAGAGTGTTTAACCAAATTTTGAGAATTATCATTGAATTTTAAAAATAACTGACGAGAAGCAAACATCAAATAAATGTAAAATCCATAGGGGTATTCTTGACCTTGCAATACCAAAGATATTGTCTTTGACCACGGCATGGTGCACGGATTGCATAAATTTGCAATCCGCGCAATACCATGCATGTAAGAGTGCATTTTTTAAAGTTTAAGTTTGCAGAATATCCAAAGCTCTAATAAAATATTCAATTAATTTTTCTTTTTCGGATGGATGCGGAATTTTAAACAACAAATTCAAAAGTTCTCTTCATTCGCTAGAGTTTGACACTTCAAATTAGCTGCGTTATTTGCTATCAAATATGCAACAGTTTTGAAATAGGGTGTTCTCTAACAGCCTATTTTAGCTCAAATGCATTTAAACATTGCATTTAATTGCGTGAATTCCCATGTATTTGTTGTTGTAAAAAAGTTAGTTAACTCACGTTTCAAAGTGAGTTAACTCACTTTCGGAAATTTAGCAGAAAATGTTATGTTAACAGTCGTTGCTGTCACCACTAATGTAATCATTTCGGAAGTTTCAGTGTATTTATTGCCAGAGTCGAGTAATTTCGGATTTAATAAGAGCTGAGACTTTAATTTTGCATAGTGAAATATTGTCTGCAAAAATTATATATTTTCATTAATTTTAACATAAATGCATATATTAAGTAATTTACGAAGATAATGCTTCCTCCTCTTTCAAAAAATTCAATAAGAAACAAACATAAGGCAATTGTGAAAATTCAAACGATTCCCTTAATATAAAAATATTCTTGGCTGTGGCAGCTATCAGCTGATTTCGAAAATAAATAATTTGCACTTGCAAATCGTAAGATTGCATAAATAGCCAAATAAAATGAATGCAGTCCCTCGAATTCATGATTTCAATACTTGTGACATATTTTGCAAACTGCAAATGTAAACAAAAAGCAGCTGTTCGAGTTAACTCACTTTCGGTGGAAAAGTTTGACATTTTATTCACTTAACAGAGGCCTTAAATGCATTTAAGTGCTTGGTGGAAATAGGCTACAACTCCTGCATATTTCAGTATAGCATTGTTGAAATCCGTGCACCGTGCAAGGTCAAGAGAATGAACCTAATACATATGTATATTTATAGTGGCTCAATAAAGAACTCGGGCATACATTCCACTGTTATTAACATGCAATTTCAAGCTAGATCTTTTTTTAAAAAATAAATATTAAGCATTTTTGTTTTTTATGTTTCTATAGGGTATCCAATAAGGATTTAAAAAATACCAATAACAAACAAATTAAATAGCTTATAGGTCTCCTATACCCTTACTTCAAAAAATTAACATGTTGCATGCTAGAAATTTCGCCAAAAAAGAAGTCGGACATGTGGTAATATTACAGTTGCTTGGCATTTTAAAAAGGGGATTCCCACAATTAGTTGGTTTTCGTTTAAAAATACATATGTATATAATCAAACGTAATAGCTTAAAATTTTTTTTGGAAAAAAAAGGTGAATAGCTCAAACATGAGTCGACAACGTGGACAAAGTTCATTTGAAGTAAGGAAGTAAATTATTAGTCATTTTGAAATATGAAGAACCATTCGGGAAATCGCAGAAATTGTGAGCAGACCCCGCTCGACTGTGCATGACATGGTTAAACGAT